ATTGTGAATGCACAAAATGCCACTGAATTGCATACTTTTAAATGTTGATTTTATGTGTTTTAACCACACACACATACACAAAAGCTGGGAGAGCAATTTCACGCACAAAAAACCCTACTTTACATCTCAAAGAATTGAGAGCTGTGGTAGCAGAGCCTGGATTGAAGGAGAGACTTTCCAGTTTGGTTTCCTTGGGCCCAGCCTGGTCACTGTGCTGAGACCTCCCGCTCCCCCCCAACGGAGGGAGAGCAGGGCGGTCACCAGGCCAGAGCTCCCGGCAGCAGACTCGAGTGAGGATTTGGGGAAGGGGGTGCTCAGGATGAAGCAGAAGAAAACCTTGGTGTGGGAAGAGAGGTGGGGGATGGTCAGCTGAGCATACACTGGGACTCAGCCAGTGGCGGGTTCAAGTACTGGCTCTGGAGTGTTAACCCAACCCAACTTGGGATGAAGTGATGCGCAGAAAGCACTAGAACAATGCCTGGGCCATAGACATACTAAATATTTTGACTTTATTTTAATAGAGGTGGCTGTGCAGTTCATAAGTGCATTCTGGTTTAATCAACACCTGTCCTACAGATGGGAAAATGGCTCCCATATCTCCTGGCTTGTACCATGTACCAGGCAGAGGGGTGACCTAGGCAGGTAAGGAGGTAAGTGAGTCGCCTGGGGTTGGAGGGAAGATTCTCTGTAAGCTCCCAGGATGGACGTGCAGGTCAATCACTCCTCCCTGAGTATGTGGTTGGTCTCCTGAAGACATGCTGAGGCTGACCAGGTCAGTGCGCCTGGCCTCTGGCCCTGGCCTGCTCAGAGCCTGTGACTGCAAGAGGAATGACAAAGCCAGGTTTATTGCTCCGATTAAACCAGCGGACACAGAAACTGAGGGAGGACGGTACAAGAAGTTGGTGAACATTTCCTCAAGGCCACTGCTGAATTCTTGGCACCTGGGAAACTGACCCATGCACTACAGATGTGCTGGTCACCTGCTCACAGGCCAGCTCCCCCCACCCCGAGTCCAAAGTTCGAGCTGCAACCCAAGGCTCTGGGGAGCAGGGCTCCTTCTGTCCACGGTGCTGCCTGCGGAGCCCCTGCAGAGGTCTGAGCATGGAGGCAGGGGCTGCGTCCTTAGGAACGTGTCTTGGTGGAGGAAGAGGCTGCCTTCTTCTTGGCGGGGGCTTTCAGCAGCGCCAGCTTCTTGGGCAGGCTGGTGCTGGCTTTCATCACCACATCATGTTCAATCTTCTTCCGGATCCCGACCTCCAGGTCCTGAAGGGGCAACCGAGGGGCAATCAGACTGGGATCTGAGGCCGAGGGAGTGAGGGAGGGCCTGACCTGGGGCTGGATCAGTGACGCCCCGCCCCCTGAAACAGCACCTGAGAGTCCGGAGGCTGTGGTTTAAGTCCTGCTTTTGCCCCACACTCTTTGTGGTGTTACACACACACACACACACACACACACACACACACACACTCCTTTCTCATCCCTGGACCTCAGCTTCCAAACTTCTGCTCACTCCCATTTCACTGAAGGGGAAATCGAGGCTCCTGCAGGGAGGAGGCAGTTGCCCAGGGTTCGCAAACCACGTGAGGGGAGACTGGACCCTGGCATGCCTAGAGTCTCTGGTCTCAGTCCATGGACAGTCCCTCCTGTCCCATGTCATCTCCGCTTTGCACATGGGGAACTGGGGCTCTGAGACAGGGATGTGAGCAAGTAAAGGCACAGGGCTTAGAAGCCAAGTGTGTCTGGGTCCAAAACTGGTAGTTTAATCACATTCCCCAAACCATCCCCTTGCCCTGCCTGTATGAACTCTAATGACCACGATCACCACAGCCAGCACCGCATGCCAGGGCACGGGAGACACAACAACAAACAGGGCACAGGAGAACCTCTGCCTTCAGCGAGCTGACATTCGGTGCATGTGTGGGGACAATGTAAATGCCATGGTTACATTATGTTAAACTGTTGAACGATGAGAAATGGTAGGAGGTGTTACAGAGAAAAGAAAATAAGGGTGAGTGAGTGTGTGTGGGGAGGAGCTGTGGGCTGCCATCAGGAACAAGCTGCTCAGAAGCAACACTTGCAGTCAGACCTGACTCAGAGGAAGGGAGCCATGTGGACTTTGGGGCAGAAGAAACAGCCAGTGCAAAGTTGAAGTGCGACAAGGAGCAGTTAAAGGGCCAGTGAGGCTGGAGGGAGCAAGGGGGAGAGTGGGAGGAGAGGGCAGGGACGTGAGAGGGGGGCATAGTGTATAGGGCTTTGTGAAGGACTTGGTTCTCCCCCCTCAACCCCCCCTCAATGAGGTAGAGCCACCAGGGTCCTGAGCAGAGAAAGCAACACAAGCTGACGTTTAAGTGCTCACAGGCGCCCTCTGGCTGCTATAGGGGATGGGGGGTGGGCAGATCAGGGAGGAGAGGGTGAGGGGGAGATCCAGGATGATCCCGAATATTTTGAAATTTGGTAGGACAGACTTTTCCTAAATGAAGACTGGAGGTAAGCAGGCTGCTGGGGACACAGGTCTGAGAAAACCGAGGCTTTGGGGAAACGAAACAATTTGATGAAGGTTACACACTAGTTCAGTGATGGCGAACCTATGACACGCGAACTCATTTTTTTGGTTGATTTTTCTTTGTTAAATGGCATTTAAATATATAAAATAAATATCAAAAATATAAATCAATGTTTTACTATGGTTGCAAATATCAAAAAATTTCTATATGTGACACGGCACCAGAGTTAAGTTAGGGTTTTTCAAAATGCTGACACGCCGAACTCAAAAGGTTCGCCATCACTGCACTAGTTAGTGTGGAATACAACCCAAAATCAGATCTGACTCCACCAAAATCAGTTTTAATTTTCTGTAACTTCTTAAGCTTAACCCTAGAAATGACAATAACCAACACAGCTAATGTTTCTTTGTGCCTGTGCTGTTCTCAGCACTGTACAGGTGCCCTATGGCCCTGAATCCTTACAACTCTGTTTCACAGGTAAGAGGCTCATGGTGAACAAATACAGCCAAACCTTGGTTCTCGAATGTCTCCGATCTTAGACAATTCCGTCCTCAACCAAGTTCACGGAAAAATGTCTCGGTTTTGGACCAGACAACCCTTTCATGCCTCTCAGACAATACACAAAGGAGAAAGTGCTTTTGTTGGCGGTGAAAAGGACGATTAGCACAATTTTAAAACACAAAGAGGTCATCGAGAGTGCTAATGTTGCTAAGGGTGTGAAAGAAGCAATGATCACAGGCAACTGAGGCAGGAAAACTGTTGCTTTGGATAAAGGAAAAGCAGTTGGCCACTGACAGCATTTCAGAGGCAGGGACACATGAACAAGCTCCGATGCCGGATGCTGACCTGAAAGACACCCTGGAATGAACGCTAAAGTGATTTAAGGTCAGTAGGGGGTGGTTCCGTAAACTTAAGAAAAAAGTGTTTATATTTATAGATTAAGCAGTACATTAGACATGTACTACATATAAGAAAGGTTTTAAAAAAAGGGAATCATTTGTGGGTCTGGAATGGATTACATTTACATTATTTCTAATGGGAGCAAAACGATTGGGTCTTCGAACGAATCGCTTCTTGAACAAATTAAGTTCGAGAACCGAGGTCCCACTGTATTACCCATGGACCGCGATTTGCCTCCAGCACCGCCTTCGCGCACAGCTGGGGTTTTCAACTCGGTTCCCATGCCCCCCCGCCCCCACCCCAACCCCATGAGAGCACAGTAACCACCAAAGCAGCTGAGTGAGTGCGGAATACGTTCCGCGCGCCAGGCCGTGCTTCGACGTTGGCGACCGCTGCTCCAAAGGTTTCCTTAAACCTGCGGTCGCCAACCTTTCGGACCGCGCGGACCACCGGGTGGCGACCGCTGAGAGGCCCGTGGAATAAAGGCGATGGCCCTGTACACACCGCACGCGGGAGGCGAAGAGTCGGGAATTCTCCAGGACCCATCCCCGGATGCAGACTTCATCCCCGGACCCCTCCCTGCACCGACCTCCAAGCTCCATCCCTCGCCCCCCGCACGCCCCCGCTCACCTTCTTGAGCTTTCGCTGTTGGACAACGCGCGCCTTCTTGGGGGCGATAATACGACCTGGGGGAGACACACTCGCGTGAGGTCAGGGCGCCCAGGCCCACCCCGCCCAGCCCCTGGATCGCTCCTCACCTCCCTTCCTCGGGCCCCGGCTGCGCTCCGAGGCCGCAGCCGCCGCCTTGCTCTTGGCTGGCTTCTGCGCCTGGAACTTGCGCTGCCCCTGCGCCATGACGGAACGTGCGCAGGAAAAAGCCGGGCTGACAATTGTAACCGGAAGACGCAGGGCACGATGGGATACACTGGGGCCAGGACGCGCAAGGGCGCATGGGAAACAACGTGGCAAAGAGTTGGCGTTCTGACAAAGATGGTTCTTTATTGACAGCGTTTGGCAAAAACTTGAAAGGGAAGGTTACAATGACAGACTAATAGTCATTGGGCGCTTATGCTTTGTAAAACGTATAGTTTTATGCTCTTTGTATGTAAAATCCAGTCCAGGGCAAAAATGAGGTGAGTTAGGCACTTACTGGTGCAAAATTTAAGGATACCCAAAATTCTGTAATGAAGATAGTGTTTTCAACATTTAAAAGTAACATTTCAATATTTTAAAAAATCAAGCCGTGAAACTACTGCTTGTAGATGGGTGGTCTGATGTTGTAAATTTTTATTGGGACAAGGGCTGGTATCAGAGGTTAAGGTGAAGGTGTGCAAAGGTAGGCTTCCATTCTATTTAGTATCTTGGTATTTTGTTCTTCAAGTGTTTTTCTTTCTTTTTTTTTATAAGGATTTTATTTCAATATTTTTTGATTTTTTACAGAGAGGAAGGGAGAGGGATAGAGTCAGAAACATCGATGAGAGAGAAACATTGATCAGCTGCCTCCTGCACACCTCCTACTGGGGATGTGCTCGCAACCAAGGTACATGCCCTTGACGGGAATCGAACCTGGGACCCTTCAGTCCGCAGGCTGACACTCTATCCACTGAGCCAAACCGGTTAGGGCTCATGTATTTTTCTTGCATTCATTTTGATTTTTAAAAATACTGCATGAAAGTATTATTTATCTTGGTTACTGAGCTTTTTGGTGTCCCGTTTAAATTTTGTGCCTAAGGTGTTACCCTAGTTCCAGTCCTGAGAGCAACCTAAGAAGGCCGTAGGTATTGTCCCCATGTCATAAATGAGGAAACCACAGCATGGAGAGGTGAGGTGACTTGGCCGAGATCACACAGCAGAAAGAGTGGCAGAACTGGGATAGGAACTTGGGTAGCCTATCTCTAGCTGCTGCACTTTTAAAAGCCATGCAAAGACTCTGTCCGCTATCCCTGCTCTAGGAAGAAGTATGATTGGGGGAAGGTCAGCTTTGGAGCAGACTATTCAATACATTTTATTATAAAACCTAGGGGGATGGAGAAGGGTATGGAGAGCCGGGTTGGTTACTTCTGGGGTCCATCTAATGTCCCCACCCTCAGGAGATGGTGGTGCTTAGGGCTGCCTGGAGTTCTTTGGGGGTAAAGACACCCAGCTCTGTGATGATGCCGCCAGTGATGAGGTCATGGGGGGTGACATCGAAGGCAGGATTCCAAACTCCAATTCCTACAGGGGAGAGAAGGGAGGCAAGAAGGTAAGTATTTGCTTCTGTGAAAGTTCTCCAGTTGTTGTCACCTGTCCCCCCACGCCCATGGTGGTTGTTGGAGTTAGGGAATTCTTGAGAATCTGGGGATACTTACCCCAAAAGTGCAGGAAGACATGGGCTTTGGTACCCCGTAACAAGTTTAGACTCCTCTCCGCACACCATTCCTGAATTATCACTAAGAAGGTTTCAGTCTTATATATATCCATCCTACTCTTGCCTGGATCTCTTTAAGAACCTCCAAGAATCCACTCCAGGGCCTTTGCATGGGCTCTGCCCTCTGCCTCGAAGCTCTACATCAGATATGCGCGACTCAATGTTTCATTTCCTTCAGTCTTTGCTCAAATGTCACCTTCTCAGTGAGAAGGTCTCTGATCATCTTGTCTAAACCCCCTGTACGGACACTTCCTTGCCTTGTTTATTTCTCCTCAGCCCTTACTTCCTATAATTGTGTTACTTATCTTATTGTCTGTCTCCCTGACCAAACTGTCAGCTCTATGAGGGCATGGAGTTTTGTGTCTTTTTTCACTCCTATATCCCAGCACTTAGCATTAGTCAGGGGCTCAAAAACATTTGCTGAATGAATTACTCAGCATAGACCACAATTTCTTACACAAGAGGCTGCAAACTGGTGGCCTGTAACTTTTTTCTCTGGCTCACAGTTGTTTTATTTGTTAATCCTCACCTGAGGATATTTTTTCCCCATTAATTTTTAGAAAGTAGAAGGGAGCGGGAGAGACACAGAGAGAGAAACATGGAAGTGAGAGACTGACCGAGGGCTGGGGATCCATTAATTTTTAGAAAGTAGAAGGGAGCGGGAGAGACAGAGAGAGGGAGAAACATGGATGTGAGAGACTGACCGAGGGCTGGGGATCGAGCCTACAACAGAGGTACACGCCCTTGACCGGAATCGAACTCGAGACCCTTCAGTCCAAGGGCTGATGCTCTAACCATTGAGAAACCAGCTAGGGCAGGCTCACAGTTTTTTGAGTCCACTGAATTAGCTGCTACCTTTCAAAAGGTGGGAAATTTCATATATTAAAAAATGTAAGGCTTCTCTTGGAAAAAACAGAAGACCCATTTCTCTGGGGCCTGCATTCCTATGACCACTGGCGGGAGCAGAGTATCGGGGCCCACAGAATGCACCTTGCCCATGACACTTATGTCTTGCTGTCCCAGTTTTATTTTAGTGGGTGTGGGTTGTCAACTCTACTTTCCACAGTCTTAGGGACTATGACCAGTGCTAACTATGCCTCTAGGAAAGCAGGGATGCCAAAAAAGAAAACGAGAAAAAAACGTGGGAAATTTCATATATTAAAAAATGTAAGGCTTCTCTTGGAAAAAACAGAAGACCCATTTCTCTGGGGCCTGCATTCCTATGACCACTGGCGGGAGCAGAGTATCGGGGCCCACAGAATGCACCTTGCCCATGACACTTATGTCTTGCTGTCCCAGTTTTATTTTAGTGGGTGTGGGTTGTCAACTCTGCTTTCCACAGTCTTAGGGACTATGACCAGCGCTAATTATGCCTCTAGGAAAGCAGGGACGCCAAAAAAGAAAACGAGAAAAAAATTTTCAGAATCAATGTGTCCTTTTTAAAAAAGCGGTAAGGAGTCGCAGCAGAAAACAACAGACTATTAGGACTTCCCTCTGCTTAGTTGTATAGTGTTTTTTAAAAAAATGTTTTTATTGACTTTAGAGTGAGGAAGGGAGAAACATCAATGAGCGAGCAAAACATCAATTAGCTGCCTCCCACACCGGCCCCAACTGGGGACTGAACCCACAACCTGTGCACATGCCCCGACCAGGAATCAAACCAGTGACCCCTTGGTGCATGGGACAAAGCCCAACGCCCAAAGAACTGAGCTACACTGGCCAGGGCTATATAGTTTTGTTTTTTTAAAGCTTTTTTTTTTTTTAAAGTTATTTATTTTTTTGTTACTCCTCACCCGAGGATATTTTTCCATTGGTTTTTAGGGAAAGTGGAAGAGAAAGACAGAGAAACATTGATGTGAGAGAAACACATTGATTGGTTGCCTCCTGCATGAGTCCCCAATGAGAGCCTGGGCTGGGGAGGAGCCTGCAACCAAGTTATGTGCCCTTGATCGAAATCGAATCCGGGACCTGTTGGTCCGCAGACCAACGCTCTATCCATTAAGCCAAACTGGCTACAACGCCCCCCCATCTTTAAAAATTTTTTTTTTACTGATTTTAGAGACAGGAAGGGAGGGAGAGAAGGGTTGGAAACATCATTGATGAGAATCATTAATCGGCTGCCTCCTGCATGCCCTCTATTAGGGATTAAGCCCAAAACCCAGGCATGTACCCTGACTGGGAATCAAACCATGACCTCCTGGTTCATGGGTCGATGTTCCACCACTGATCCATACTGGCTGGGCTGTATACTGTTATTATTTTAAAAATATGTATATTATTATTAATTTCAGAGAGGAAGGGAGAGAAAGAGATAGAAACATCAATAATGAGAGAGAATCATTGATTGGCTGCCTCCTGCATCCCCACTGCTGCACAACCCCCACTGGGGATCAAGTCCACAACCTGGGCATGTGCCCTGTCTGAGAATTGAACTGTGGCTCCTGGTTCATAGGTGGATGCTTAACCACTGAGCAACACCAGCCAGGGTCCCTGTAGGGCTGGGCCTATTCTCCAGGTCATGTGGGTTAATTCACTGAAGGCCCTGGGATTTATGAGGTAAGCCATAATAACAGCTCTTCTATAGATAGGAACACAGGGGCTCTTAGGGATGAGAGAACTTAGGCAACCTGCTCATAGCTGCACAGCCAGGGAGCATGGGGAGGCTGAAAAATATCTGTGTCTCTTCATAGGCACTTGGCTGAACAGGATTCTTATTTGTTCTTCAGGTGAGAAAACCGTGGTAGAGAATGGCAAGACAATTTACTCAAGGTTTCTCAACTCCTGAGTTGGCCATTCTCACCTTGAATTTGACTTCCAACATGTTTCTGTTTCTAAAATTGGCTTAAATTTGAAGTTGCTTGTGCCCTAGAAGGCTGATGACACCCCAAATGCCGCTTGCCTCCTGTGAAGGAGATGGGTACCTAACTGAAGGTGCCCAGATTCTGGTACCCCGCTGAGTGATGGCTTACCGGGTGCTGCAATCCTGACCCCATTGACATCGGTCAGCTCCTGGCCGGGGCGCTCCTCAATGACGATCTGCTGGCCCGTCTCCAGACGGAGGTCACATGAGGAGCTGGGGGCAGCTACGTAGAAGGGGATGCCATGGTACTTGGCGGCGATGGCCAGCTGGTAGGTGCCCACCTTGTTGGCTGTGTCACCATTGGCAACCACACGGTCAGCTCCCACAACAACAGCTGGGGAGCAAGATGTCGGGGGTCATCACCTGACCCTGGATGCCCGGAGCCCTGAGTGCTGGTGCCCTGCCTGCTGGCACCCCACTGCTGACCTGACACGTCCCGGTGAGCCATGGCGGCTGCTGCCATGCTATCTGTGATGAGGGTGGCGGGAATCTGCTCGTAGACCAGCTCGAAGGCTGTCAGCCGGGCCCCCTGGTTGTAGGGCCGGGTCTCCGTGCAGAAGACATGCTTCAGGCGGCCAAGGTTGTGCAGCGAGCGGATCACACCTGTAGGACCCGACTCACCAAAAGGCCAGGATGAGACAGAAAGGGACAGATGGGCAGGGTGGTGGCCCATTAGTTGGGGGCACAGATCTCCAAAGGCTCCCCATCCCCAGGCCCTTGTGCTGGCTGTCCCTCTGTCCAGTGCATGTGTGCTTAGAGAACACCTTCAGGTGAGTCCTTCCTGATCCTTCCATCTCACATAGCAACCCCCACACCTCTGACCTCTTTCCCAGTTTTTCCTCTTTAGTACTTATCACCTTTGAACACATCATATATATTTACCGACTTGCTTTTGTCTGTTCCTTCTACTTTCCTTTCCCATTGGCTGAGATTTTGTTCACTTTGTTCACTGCTGGCTCTCCAGCGCCAAGAACTGTGCCTGGCAAATAGTAGATGCTTAACAAATGTCTGTTGAGTGAATGAAAGAATGCTTGCGCTCATGAATGGTGGGACACATAGTAGGTGCTTAATAAATGCTGAGTGAATAAAGGAATGCATGTATGCATGCAGGAATGGTAGGGCACAGAGTAGGTGCCAATATTTGTTGAGCAAATGAATGAATGATGTCTTGCCATCAGGGCCTCAGTCCCCAGGCCCCAAAGTGGGACCCAAGCAGGTAGAGAAATCTGGAGAATTTAGGATCAAGTGGAATCTAATGCCTTGAGTCCCAGGACCCAGTTCCCCCTCTCCAGGTCACTGCTACCCGAATCGTTCCTGGGGGACCACTCCCTTTCCCTCAGTTCTCTTGAAATCCACATTCTGCCCACTCAGGCCAGGTCCATCAAGTGGTTGATCTTGGATGGGCAGGTGACCCCATCATAGCTCTGAGTTATAAGAAGTCTCTTCTGGCATTGTTGGCATAAGCTCCTTTCCTCCTGATCTGAACATTGGCAGGCCCTCTGCTGGCCCATGGACCGGGAGCAGGACCGGGACAGGAATAGATGGGTCCTAATGCGAATGTTTCGAACTCCTGGATCCAGCCATACCTGAAGCCACCTTCCTGTTTCTGTACAAGAACTAATCTATTTCCATTTTGGGGGTGGGAAAAGTGGTTTGGGTTTCTTTCTTTTGAATCCAAAATTGGCCCTCCCCCATCCCCATGAGCACCCACTTACTCACCCAGGGCTGTGCCATAGCCAGCCGTGGCCAGTGCACCAGTATTACAGTGGGTCAGCACGGTCACCTTGCTGCCCGTGGGGGCTGCCCGCTCCAGGAGGTGGTGGGCTCCCAGGTCTCCAATGCTCCGATTATCCTTGAGGTCTTTCTCCAACATGTCTTCAGCGAAGCAGATCACTCTGGGGCCGACAAGGGACTCTCAGCCTCCGGGCCCAGGCTGGCCCCTCCTTCCTGCCCAACTCTCTTGCTGAAAGCCTCTCACAGCTGTGAGGCCTAGATCCTTCTGCTTTTGCCACCTGTCACTCCATTCGCTCATGCAACACGTTAACTGAGCACGTCCTGGGTGCGAAGCACTGGGGGGCCCAGCAGTAACCAAGACAAAAATCTCTGCCCCTATGGAGCTGACACAAGTGGGGGAGGCAAAAATGAGCAGATAATGAAGTGAAGAAAAAGGCAGCAGAGTCAGGGGGTGGGGGTGGGCGATGAGC